GTGTGTGTGTGTGTGTGTGTGTGTTAGAGGGAAGGCTATGTATGTGTATGTGTGTGCGTGAATGTAATTCTTATTTATGTATATGTGTCTACAAGCAAGAGATCGGTAAATAGATAGATTGATTGATAGATAGATAGATGGATATTGATGGAGGTATATAGATAGATAGAGATATAAATATATAGATATGAATAAATATACACATACATAAGTGTGGATGTGGATGTGTTTGTGTGTTTGTGCGTGTGTGTGTGTGGGTGTGGGTGTGTGTGTGTGTGTGTGTGAACATGTGTGCGTCTGTGTGTGCATGTGTGTGTGTGTATTTGTGTGTGTGCGTGCGCGTGTGTGTGCGTGCGTGCGTGTGTATATGTGCGTGCGTACGTGCATGCATGTGCGTGTGTGCGTGCGTGTGTGCATGCTGACATATATAAAACATAACTGGGAGTGTAACTCCCCCCCCCCCAATGACCACACCGACCGTCTTTTATGGCAGGACCCAACAGCGTTTATTTTCTGATTTTTTATAGCAGGAAAATTGACGGCGCCCTGAAATTGATATGACACATTTGATTAAGTGGCATATGGCGCTGGGAGTTCTATTTGATTCCAAAGATTTAGCTTTTAATTGACACAGCGTAACCAAAAAGCTGACTCTGAGATAAAGGTGTAAATATCTGTCAAAAGAAATAATCGATTGCTCAGTCAATTGCAAGTTGAAATCAGGACAGACGTGTTATGTAGATGGAAGTGATGGGTTATGAGGAGTGTGTGTGGAGTAGTCATTGTGCTGTTGCAGTCTAATGAATATATGTAAGAAGAATCATAGAGAAATAAACATAGAAAGTTGCTACATAGTCAAAGAAAATGTGTCAACGAATTATATAGGCAATTCTATCATGGTTTCTCGGAGACAGAAATGACTAAATAAAATCTCCGTTGAGGTTTCAGCGTCCTCGGAGCATGGTGGCTTTGTTCATAATAAACTTAACTTAGATCTATCTTCAACACCTTCATTCCAAGGTCTTTTCAATCAGAGTAGTATCTGCGTCAACTTGACCGTATTTGCCCATTCGGATTCATGTTCTCTCCGTTTGATTGTTTATAAAAGGATTTTAAAATTCTCAACTCTTGCCCCGTTCCACTTTTCCGGAGGCAAAGGTAAATGCATTTTTCATCATTGTATTGCACGTGATCCAGCTTTGTAATACACATGAAATGTATGCTGGAATCACTGAAGTTACGATAAGTGTTGGTTTAATCGTATGTATATGATTTTGCGTGGCTTCTGTTGTTGATATTCCGTCATGCTGTTGCACACTTTCCCCGCAGGACTGTTCTGATTTCACAAGCAGGAAGTAGAGTATTTTGCTTGGGTACAGATCAAAGCGATATCTCTGACCGTTTATATTTTTCCTAGGACGTGGTCTGATTTTGACAGCTTCCTCATGTTGACAGATTCTGAAAGTATTCCTCAGGTGAATTCAGCTAACTTCGCTGGGGCTCTTACAAAGTATCCCTTCCATCATCCGGATTATATTGACAAAGATACAAGACCTATTTTCTTTATATTTTTTGGTGAGGTCTTCCTTCTGTTAGGGGTCTTGCACTGGTTATGAAACGCTAGATAAACATACACCTGTATCTTATTTTCATGCGATACATGAAACAGATAGAATGGGAAGTCCTCACACATTCAAATCGCACTTGTGGTAGTAGTAAGTGGTATTGTACGACTATTGCATCTCTACAGGTACAAGGGACCCTGTTAATATCCATGGTTTTATGTGTATTTGTCTTGTTATAAGTATTAGTATTGCCGTAAGCCTAGATCATTATCATCATTATCGCTATCGATAGGTGTGTGTAGGTGTGTATTGCCTAAATACCTAGTGTAGTTGTACAGAGGTAATAATTCACACAAACCGAGAAAAAAACATTATGAGTAACTCCATAACCCCTTGGAAAACACAAGAATTAAATCTCAGGAGTGTTGTTTGTTTAAATGCAGGTTACCTACGTAAGTTATCGGGAAATGACGAAATGAGAAGCAGTAAAAATGTGCCAACCCAATCAGAGCTCATGTCAGTTTAGGACCAAAGGAATATTACATGTTTAATCACTAGCACTATACACTGTAAGAAGAAACTTGCAGTTGCAATACCGTCAAGTATTTAAGTACAACATAAAACCACACATAATCTTGAAGAATTGAACATATTATAAATACTAGCGACTGCAAACTCTCACCATCACGAAAGCTATAGGCCAAGAAATCCATCACCTGGACGAATCATCAGTGTTAAGTTTCACTGCATCAATACCAAATTATTGAAGATATGAATTTTCAAAAAGACGAAATCATTGGTAACTTCAGAATGCATGAGAAATAATATCGGCTTTTCCATCGGTTTCGCATTACTCACCTTATAACGCAAAATAAACGAAATCCGTAATTTGTTGTGAGTCAGATAAGATACGGTTAGCTAATATTCTTGAACGAATATAATTTTCAGACACGAGTTGGCTCTCAGTATCGTTGCAAATGTTGATTATAGTTTTTTTTTTTGTGTATGTTTACATGAACACACACACATACACATACACACACACACATACACACACATACACACACACACACACACACACGCACACACACACACACACAAACACACACACACACACACACACACGCACGTTCACGCACACGCACACGCACACGCACACACATACACACACACACACACACACAAAGAGATTGGAATTGTAACGTTTCGATTTGTCAAAAGTTCCTCATCAGACAAATAAATATCGGTTTCGGTTACTTGTTCGTCTGTTTAGGAACTCTTGGTGTGTTCGAAACGTCACGATTCCGTTTCATTTCATATATATACATATATATATATATATATATATATATATATATATATATATATATATATATATATATAT